ATGCATAACATCAGCACTTTCAACTGGGAATTGCCAGGCCAAGTCATTAATTAGAAACTTGCCCATTACTAAGGTAGTGCTTAACGAGGTGCGTTGATGTGCAGACAATGAGTCAATGTCTGTAACTCATTAGGACATGTCAGCCCCTGCCTTAGCAATACATGGACATCAACCACTGGATAATGTGTTCATACAGCTCAATCATTTAGGAAGGTCTCTACGTTGGTGCATTAACCTAAATCAGTCGGTTGTTACTTTTTCTGTAAATGCAATGTGAGCTTTAAAATACAAAAAGTATGGATAAGTTGCTGACATGATTTAAGGAGGATTAAAAGGCAAAGGTGCTCATTCCTATTCACTGTATTATGCTCCCTGAAAAAGTTTCAGCTCTTGTGTAGCCTCTCATAAATACCCGTTAAGGTCCAGAGAAATACAGGACTGAGGAAAATCTTGTCCTTGTACAGCAATTACCTCCGAGAGCTCTGGCCGATGTTGCAATGTCTTGTCTGTCTTGTTTTGTGCATGCTGTGTAGCATCTGTTTGTCCTGTGTAGTCATATTTCTGATCAGTTTGTTCATGTCTCTGTATCAGTGTTGCTACTGCCTAGTCCATTAATTGTAGATGAATAAGGAAAATATAAGTGTACTTGAATAATATGATACTTAAGTATATTAAAACTATGTTCTGGTAAATATTTTAAACTAATGGATAGTACTGTTAAGGGGTAAATGGTGACTGAGTTTACCTAATAGCTGGATCTGTTCCAATCCAGGAGATATAGTTTAATGCCTCCAAATCCATGTCTGAGTACTCAGAATAAAATTAAGTTTCCTATTTCAGGCTTTCTCTATAAAGGCTCTACATTTAAATACAATTTTAGTTTTCTCTCCAGATACTTTTTCCTTCTGCTTTAATAGCTCTGTAATTCTGTTGACTTTTCATTCTAATACCATTAGTCACATTTCCAGCATTTCTTTAGAGACTCTTCCTTTTAGGTCTTGCAATTCTCCAGTTCTCCTCTTGACTGTTCTTAGGTATTCTGTCCATGAGATCAGTTTAATGCTGTTGACTCTTACATCTCACTTTCCATCTTAGGGAAGCAAAGTTTAGTTGCTTGGTAGTGCAGGCAAAAGTCAGAAATGGAGCTCCTCCTAGAAAGTATTTACACAGCCCATTCAAGTACCGTGACAATTGTTTGGTATTTGGAGAATCTATAAGGTGCAGCAGTGAGAAAGAAAGAGATCTTCATCGATGGGATGGACAAGAAGAATTGAATTTTCTGGGAGATGGAGCAAGATAAAGTGACAATCTGGAGATTGAGGCAATTTGAGAAATGACCTCAAGGTTTCACAAGGAGGCAAAAGGATAGAGGTGGTAACAGCAGTAGGGCAGAAACAAGGGTGAGAGATCTTAAAAAGAAGTGCATGACCATATTAATCCTGAGTCAGTGGATAAATTCAGGATGATTCATGTTGTGTGTTGGACCTTACGTGCTGATTCAGATCATTAGAAATTGCAGTGGGCATGTGAAATGCAAGCTGCACACCCAGCACCATTGGCAGGGAACTTCATGGACCTTGCCAGGATGGGAAGAGATTAGGTGCCCTTTCTCTGCCTGGCAGGGAAATGCCAGGGATTGAGGTGGGGTTGCTGAAGGGCTGAGAGCGCATGATGCCCCTCAGTTGCTGGCACACCAGATAAATTACAAACTGGAGCTTGGGCCTTGTAGCTTTTCTCCACCCAGTTTTGGAATAGTCAGATGTCTCCCAGCTGGAGAAGGGAAAGCAGGAATGACGGATACAGTGGGCTGGGGGAAGTAAGAGAGAAGGAAGTGGTAGGAAGAAGGGTGACTGTCTGGCTCAGGGTTGATAAAGTCACATTATTACTGTTATTACTTTGAAAGGAATGAGTGGGTCATTAATGTAACTGATACATCTAAGTAGGTTGCCAGTTTTGTTTGAGTGCTTAATGTGGATGTGAAGGTTATAGAAATACAGGTAGAAATGTGGAGTCTTAACAATGTAAATCAGGTCAAGAATTAAGTGCTAGGGAAAGTCTGTCTGGACATTTGTGGAGAAGGTTGGAAGAGAAAGCCTGAAGGATGTACCTGAATAGTGCTTGCAGAAAATTATGAAGAAATCTGAGAGGGTGGTTGTGCAGAAGCCAGGTTTGGGAGCAAGTTGCTGAGTCCAGTGAGCAGAAATTCTGAGATCTGCAGACACAGCAAGGATGAGGTGGATTATAGGCTGTAGGCATTGACCAAGGAAAACACAGGAACATCCTGATGATCATTTTATTCTGGAGTCAGTCCAGAAATTGTTTGGATACAAGAGTCAGTCCCTGGAATTTGAGTTTTTGTCTTGCACTGATTTGTTTCTGACCATTCTGACCAGACTATTCTGGCCACCACTCAGGCCTGGAGCTGAATATTGTGTTTGACCCATCTCACTTCTCCTCTTCTTCTCCTCCTTACATTGTATTCAACCCAAAGTCAAAATCTATTGCTCTGTCACCTGCTAGTTGTTCTCTTGCTTTATGCAGCTTCTAGAAACAAAGTCTCAAGATGTAGATTTGTGGGTTTTGGGCTTTTTAAAATTTAATATCATAATATATTATTATAATCTCTTAGAGTTATTCCTGGTTTTGCTGGTTTCCTGTGACATACCCTCTCAAGGATCAGTTGAATCAGGTTTTTCATTACTGGTGTTAATGGCATAAGATGACATACTCGAGTCCTTATTCAGTAAATAAACTTATTTTTATAGTAAATTACTGTGCTGCGCTGTGTTATCTGTGTCAGGCCACTTGTTCCGCCCTTGGACTGCAGTAGCTGCTGAGGCAGCTGTTTGGCTGTGTGTCTGGGGGTGCAGCATTCCTGCTCCATTCTGACCCTGCTTTCCTTCACTGCACTTCTTTCTGCAGTGGCCTCACAGGGTGCTCTGCTGCATCCAGGGAGCAGGACTGCAGGATGTTTTTCCTGGTGCTGAAAGAGCCTCTCATTTTATCACCTCAAATGCAGCCACACTGCTGCATTTATTTCTCCTGAAATGTATTTGGGGTGTGTGGCTGTGTCTGAGCTCCTAATGTTTAAAGATCCACCAAAAGGTTTTATATAGGTTACAAAATTCCCAGCCTGATCATTCTGTAACCTGCATGGTCTAACCACTGCCTTGCTCTAACCATTCTGTTTGACTGCTGGACTGGGACATGGAGCTTGTGATGATATAGTATCATATTCTCTGCAGAAAAGAAGGCAGGATTTAAAAATCTGGTGTAATTCTGAGGCAAGGGCATGGTTTTAATGGGTTCTGACTGGTACTATGTAAACATGTTACAGAGAGGCTGGAGGTACTGCTGCGTATGCTTCAGTCTGCTGCTCCCTAGAGCGTCCTCAATAAAATACAAAATGTCTTTTTGGAGTTCAGTTCTGTGTTTGGGAAGGGGAGGAAGCTGCTTGTCAAAGTCTTCCTTTTTGTATTCTCTGTTAGATTTTAAGGTGTCCATGCTCATCTTCACCTTCAAACTATTCTAATTAAAATAAAAACATCTGCAGGGAGCTGTCTTTCTGTAGCCAATGTGAAAAATAAGCAGAACTTTAACTCACACAAAATCTATTTGTAATGATATTTGGTGAACATAATGGATACTGTAAATTTATTTCATGTCTTAGGATCTTTTTTATTATAGATTGAATATAAGTTAAGGAAAATGCCTGTGAAACACAAGAGTTTGGTCCTGCTTTTGGATGACAGATTATTTGATCATTTATTTGGAAACAGAAATATTTTGTGTTTGATATAAAAACCAGCCTAGGCATCTGATAGAGTTGATTATTTTCAATAACAAGGAAGAATGGCTGTGTGTCAGTCTGATCACACAGCTGTGCTTGGCTTTGGGCTTTTTTGTGTGGCACTGATTATTTATTTCCTTATATGCATAGTAGGAGAACAGAATATTCATAGAAAAGATCTACTTGAAAGTCCCAAGAGAACAGTTTATCTTTTCTAAAGTGGAGTTTATTGGCAAGACTGAAGCTATTGAACCAGGGAAGACATAACTGACTTAATTCAGTCATACTGTTAAACAGAGTTGTAATTAAATATGAAGATCAAGGTATGTTCTAAGATTTTCTGAAAATGCTACAAGCTTTGTGCTTCTGTAAGTTGAACACTGAAATGATAATAGCTTCAGATGACATGGGTAGTTTTTACATGGACTTTAAACAAGGAAAAAAAGGAAATACCTGATTTTGAGATGGATGATGATAGCACTCCTGTATTCTGTAACTGTTCAGCTGAAAACACTGTATGGCATTTATGTTTTAGCATTTCCAAGTAACAACTGATCATTGTGTCAGTGACGTGATACCTGAAAGTCATGGAGACTGAATTACAGTTCAGTTGGTCTTACAACTTTTCATTTTTCAGTTCAATATGTATTCATTTTTTTTCACAGTTCTTATGGGTTTTTAAAAATATTTTATAATATCTAGCAGTAAATTTTGCGAGGGTGATAGTACTGCTGTTATTTTCTTTATTGCACCTTGAGTATTTTATCTTTCTCTTTTAGCAGGATGGGTTATTGCTACTAATCACTGTTTCCAGAAAAATTTTACACTGGTGGTTTTGAAGGGGATGTTAGTGCTTTTTCACAGCTTTGATTTTCATATACAGAGTTAAAAAGTGACTGGTGAGAATGCATGGAAAGTTTGACCAAAGTATTCATAAATGGTCATTCTTGAAATGACTGACAGAAAAAAAATGAATGTGTTCTGAGTGTTCCCTGATTTCAGTTTAGCTGTTCTGCAAAATGAATTCACTTTAGTAAAAGTCCACTCAATTTGGTAAGTAATCCAGGGATAAAAGCAGTTTGTGAATACTTACAAGTATTCTGTTTCCTCTGAACAATAATATTAAACACATTTTCTTCCTGTGATACCTAGATTGTTTTCTTCCTTTTCCCAAACCCATCAGACTAAATGGCTTTGTTTTTCTTCATAGATTGAAATGCTAAGGAAGAAAGTGAAAGAAAAGGAATTATTTATAATACAGCTTTTAGACAAAATCTCTTTCTTAGAATGTGAGGTAAGGCATTACCTTTTGAGTTTACATTATTGTGATTATTTTATGAAACCAAATTAAATTTGAACCAATGCCATCCAGTGCTATCTGGATGTATAACTACTATATGTATTTGCTGTTCTTCAAATGGAAATTAAACTTATGACACCAATCATACAGTCAGGAATGTATGAAATAAAGTCTCAATATTCACACTAAGTTTCTTAACTTACAATTTTATAATGGTTTAATAATGACTTAAAGCAGAAGCTTCTGAATAATACTGCTGGTTTAATACATATTCTTTCCAGAATTAAGGATTTCTTTATTTTCTCAGTACACATTTTTACACTGCTTCTTGTAGGGAGAGGGCAATGTGCAATTTTATTTCCTTGTTTAATTACCATAAATAAAATAAATTTGTGATGAAAATTACTGTTTCCCAGAATAAAGAATTACAAGATAAACTGGACTACTTAATGGAAAACCAACCAAAGACCAATATAGAAACCAAGGACACTGGTGTAGAATGTGATCTTCCATACAGGTATTTACTTTTTCTGCTTGTTTGTAGGAAAATTCTTCATAATGTCCCTTATCAGTGCTGTATTAGTAAACCATTTTGCTAATGAACAGTTTGAGTGGACTGCGGAGTTTAAAAGAGCACTTCACTCATAGGTGCAGTTCACTTCAATGATTTTTTTTCAATGGTTTAGGATTTATTCTTTTCTTGAAGATGCAAACATAGAGCAAACTCTTGTGGAGTAATTATTGCCAATACTGCAGTTTAAGTCGAGAAGTCAGAGAGGGGACTGTGAGGTGTGGGAAGTTCTGGTGCAGAGTGGCTGCTGGCAGCAAAACAGACACAGGGCAGATCTGCCCAAGGCTGCTCAGTGCTGGCTTTGGGCACATTCACCCTCTGTGCCTGAGGTGTGACCAGAACCACTGGAGAGCAGATAACACCAACAGGGGAGGCCTGCAGTAATTCTGGACATCTCCTGGCCCAGGGTGGAGGACTGCCAGGTAAGCAGTGCTGTGACACACTGCTGCTGCTCAGTGGTGCCAGTGGCTCTGGAGCCTGGCTTTGGGAAGCTCGGGTGTGGTGCCAGTGGCTCTGGAGCCTGGCTTTGGGAAGCTCGTTTGTGGTGCCTCCCCTTCTCCCCTCCTTTCTCTGACCTGAGCCTGCAGCAGGGCACTGAGCCCTGGGAGCAGGGCTCTTCACTTGCACTTCAGTTTTCCCTACAAGTCTCCACAGAGAAGGGCAAAACAGGAAACAAACCAGTAAAATAAGGAGGATCACTCTGAGTTACTTTTATTACCGACAAGTAAATTTGGTCATTGTAACCACCCTGCAAACTGAATGGTTTAGTTTGAGGAATGTAAATTAGCATACAAAATCAGCAAGCAAGCTAAAATTTCCTTCATAATTTAAAAATACACTCATTTTACAGCTCAGCCTAGAGCATATTTTAATGGCATGTGTTCTGGAACCTTAAATACCATGTTTTTGTCACTCAGGTTCTCAGCAGAAACCTATCTTTGTTGCCCTCTCTTGGGCCCCTCTGTATGTAAGCACAGCCCCTACTTATCTGATATTTTTCCTCTTTTTGAGATTTATCTCTATGCAAGAATGCACTTCTGTGCAGTTTAGATTAATGATTATTTGTGTTCTTAAATTAATTGTGTTCTTAAATAAATGATTAATTGTGTTCTTAAATGCAATATTGCTATCTTTTTTTGTTGCAGGACTCTTAGTCCTAATAATTTTATTGCTGGGCATTCCACTGTGAGCACCAGCAAATGCTGGCCTGTAAACATGTCAGTATCTGCCACGGTTTTTATCAAATATTCTTTGTGGCATTATAGGAAAGAAATATGGAACATACCAAATGCACTGATAAGTTTTATTTTAGCCTGTCAATACAAACACAAGGGCACAAGTTCATTGCCATGGCATTACGAGCCCAGCTGTGTGATACTCTGACCTTAACTCTTCAAGCTTTCTCTTGTCTCCTGAACAGCACAAGCACTGAGAACAGATCTCCTGAAAGTCCGAGGCCGGTGAGGACGTACACCCCATTCAAGAGAGTGCTGGAATTTAGCACAAAGAGCAGTACATCCTGAGCATTCAACTCATCAAGCTTTCTAAATATGAGCAGATATCTTGCACCTTTGCAGCTTGGTTAGATAAATTTTTATCAATTCATAGAGAAGAGCAGCAGCATGGAGTCTTGCTAAATTTATCCTGAAAGCAGTTCTGCAGTAACTTTATACCTGAAGTTACTACTGATGTTAACTGTGAGGGGATAGGGAAGCAGCAGGGTGAGTGAAGCAGCATTCAGGCAATATTGCTTCTTTAGAAGCTGTCTAGTGCAATGTGTCATTTCAAATGCCTGTAGAGGGACTTTTATAGCTGTACAGTTGGTTTTTTTCTTCAACTGTTTTGTAATTCTGTTTGTGTGATGAAGCTCTAATATATTCTGTTGTCAATACTACTGGAGCTGTGCTGGCAGAGGGAATTAGTGTGGAAGTTCCAAATCTGCCCAAACTGAGGGTGGCTCACACCTGTCCCAGAGACCTGGTGCCGTTGAGGGCTCTCTTCACCTGTGAGCAGCTCTTTTGTACCCAGCACTCTTTGTCTGGGAGGGAGAGCTGAACCTGGCTGTTGAAAACAATTCCCTCAACACATGGCAGATGAATATTGTGTCTGCTGCTCAGAACAGTAAAGGATAGACCAGCTTATAATGGAATTTGCTTTGTTGGGCTGAGGCACTGGTTTGCACTTCCTCAGTCATGGGACAGAGTGACCATAGTTGACACATTCTGTAGAAATTGTGTAGGAAAATCTCTGACACTTTATTTATTTACTTTTCCATTTGAGGAAGGAGTTTTCATTAAACAAAAGTTTGCTTACTGCAACCTGCAGCAGTCCTTGGAATTCCAACAGCAATAGCAATCCTGAATCAGGATTTGGGGTTTTGAGTACTATTATTTTTTTGCCCAAAGCACTTAAAATCTTACCTTTGGCTTCAAAGTAGCAGCAGGAATGACTGTATCTAATACTGAACTAATTTAAATATATATATATATATATATATATAT